CTCAGGGATTAAATAATCTACGTTTGAAATATCAAAGGTTTACTCTAGGTTGCTAAGATATGGGGATTAGAAAATTATTGTTTGTGGCAAAGACTCAATTCCTTTAACTGTCTATTTTGGTATACTATAGAGATAAGTTTATCTGCGTATTCGTAAACAAAAGACAATTTTTCTGCGTATCTGCCTTATCTAAAGCGTATCTGATTGATTAAACCTATTAGCGTATAAAGCTAAGCGTATCTGTTAGGGATAAAGCGTAATGAATACCGTTGATCTGTAGTTCTGAGATACCTTACTCAGGTAAATTGAAAATAATTGAGATTAATGATGGAGGTAGGATCGTTAGTATTTCCGTCTATACTGCTACTCTATTGGGTTTCACTAGCTAGGGGTTAATATGCCAACCTCCCCCCCCCCCCCCAACTCAGGGGGTTAATATGCCAACCTTCCACACCCCTCTCAGGGGCTATGTACCAGTACCAACCTACTACCCTTCTCAGGGGTTATTTGCACCCCCCTCCCCTCCCTTCTCAGGGGTTATTTACCAACCTACTCCCATTCGCATAGGTTGTTATACTAACCTATCCCCTCTTTGATACTTAGCACCACTTAGATACTGGCATCGACTAACAGTAAAACCTAGATACTAGTATGTACTCCTAGTACCACCTAGATACTAGTATAACCTAGATACTAGTATGTACTCATAGCACTTCCTAGATACTAGTATAACCTAGATACTAGTATGTACTCATAACACCACCTAGATACTAGTATGTACTCCTAGCACCACCTAGATACTAGTATGTACTCCTAGTACCACTTAGATGCTAGTATAACCTAGATACTAGTATGTACTCATAGCACTTCCTAGATACTAGTATGTACTCCTAGTACTACCTTGATACTAGTATGTACTCCTAGCCCTACCTTGATACTTGTATGTACTCCTACCACTACCTAGATACTAGTATGTACTCCTAGCATCACCAAGATACTATTATGTACTCCTAGCACCATCTAGATACTAGTATGTACTCCACGCACTACCTAGATACTAGTATGTACTTCACGCACTACCTAGCTACTATTATGTACTCCATGCACCACCTAGCTACTAGTATGTACTCCTAGCACCACCAAGATACTATTATGGACTCCTAGCACCATCCAGATACTAGTATGTACTCCACGAACCACATAGCTACTATTATGTACTCCATGCACCACCTAGCTACTAGTATGTACTCCTAGCACCACCAAGATACTCTTATGTACTCCTAGCACCATCTAGCTACTAGTATGTACTCGTAGCACTTCCTAGATACTAGTATGTACTCCTAGCACCATCTAGATTATAGAACTCCTGGCACCTCCTGGAATCAGGTTTAGAAGGATATAACTACATGCATGAGTAAATGTATGGTTTTCTGCCTGACTCTGCTTGAAAATAATATTCCACCGTCTGGTTTCGTTTACTAACTCATATTTTACACATAATGTGTCTTCCTGGTTCTAAATGTCTTCTTTTAATTATAAATTGCCACGAAATTTGGCGGTGAATACCTTCTACCTTCATTTAAGTACTAATTATCCACCCCTTGTATTCAACCATTAAGAAATTAAAAAATTAGGAAGGAAGGAAGAGTGAAGCGTTGGTATAGTTAAAATACTTTTATAGGCGCTAGCACAGAGGTGTCAAGGTGTACAGGAGGAAGACGGACAGAAAAATTATAAAGATATTTCAGAGTTAAAGTTTGGGACCAGCAAAAATCTTAGAAATAATTGAGCTGATTACTCGCTTCAAACTCTAACTTTTTATTCCCGTCATCTTTTCAATCTAATGCCGTAGACCTTTGACATGTCAAATCATTATTTGTTTGAGAAAAATAGTCAAAGTTTGAGCTATCAAAGCTTTTTATTATTCGGTTGCAAATAAATTGGGATTATAAAATTACTGTTTGTTCTTACGTCCATATTAATTATTAAAAATATGACAGAAAATCTTAATTATAAGGACACTAGAAACCAAAGGAATTTTATGTCGTTATGAAAATCTCATTTTTAAAGTAAATATGTCTAAATGGGTAAGATTAAAAATGTCTTTAATTTGGTTTAACAGGATAAGTCAATAGAAAGCTTATTATATTAAATATCTGTGTTCTGTTTTCTAGTAATATATGATGTGTGTTAAGAAAGCTAATTATATTAAATATCTGTGTTCTGTTTTCTAGTAATTTATGATGTGTGTTAAGAAAGGTTTTATCACCGAATTATTATAGTTTGGTTTCGTATATATTATCCTTATATTAGAGAAGAAACGAAGGTTAGAACCACAAAGATTGGTTTGGCGCCGACCCCTAATAGACTCATTCATTCCATCCTCAGACCATTCAAACCATGCACTAGGGGGCAACAAATTTGCATATATGTTTTAGATCTGGCCTTATCAGATCTCTCTTAAGTCCAAGATAAAATATTATTTCTTTTCACTTTTTTTACTTTAAACTAAAACAATCAACCATAGAAATTTATTTATCCAACGAGTGTATAGTTCTAAGTGTTTTAGGTGCACCCTAATATACAAACTATTCATACAACCAACCAAAGGGCCGCGTATAATAAACTGAACGAGAAAAAATTAATGATTTAATTTAAATAAACCTGTAAAATTCACACAAAACATGCAATGTCTAAAACAGGATTATATAAATGTACATAACTGATAAGTAATAATACTAATAACCAATTTTAATTTACGAAAAAAATGAAATTAATTACAGCATGATTCATGATAAGTGTAAACTTTAGAATGGTCACGACACTTACGCTTTACATATTCAAGCCGTATCACTCAGTCCCTTACATATTCAAGCCGTATCACTCAGTCCCTTACATATTCTAGCCGTATCACTCAGTCCCTTACATATTCTAGCCGTATCACTCAGTTCCTTACATATTCTAGCCGTATCACTCAGTCCCTTACATATTCTAGCCGTATCACTCAGTTCCTTACATATTCTAGCCGTATCTTTCAGTCCCTTACATATTCTAGCCGTATCTTTCAGTCCCTTACATATTCAAGCCGTATCACTCAGTCCCTTACATATTCTAGCTGTATCACTCAGTCCCTTACATATTCTAGCCGTATCACTCAGTCCCTTACATATTCTAGCTGTATCACTCAGTCCCTTACATATTCTAGCCGTATCACTCAGTCCCTTACATATTCTAGCCGTATCACTCAGTCCCTTACATATTCTATCCGTATCACTCAGTCCTTTACTTATTCAAGCCGTATCACTCTGTCCCTTACATATTCTAGCCGTATCACTCAGTCCCTTACATATTCTAGCCGTATCACTCAGTCCCTTACATATTCTAGCCGCATCACTCAGTCCCTCATATATTCAAGCCGTATCACTCAGTCTCGCAGTCTAGCTTTGCAGAATCAATGAAAAATAATAATACTTCGATTTGTATTTCAGAATTTTGTGATTAAGGATTTTTTATTTAAGGATTTTAAATTTCAACAGTTTGTAATTTAGAAGTTTGTCGCACCTTTCGAATATTCAGCAAAATTATCAGAATACACTAGAAGGAATAATTTGTTTTTTGATGCAGTAATGAAATAAGTTAGATGATTAGTTGATGGCATTTTGCGTAAGGTTGAAAACGTATCCGGTACCAAGGAACCTCCGTATGTTTGTTTATAAAAATATGTACTGCAGTTTTCGGGAGGAATATAAACAAAGCTCAGCTTGAGCAACTTTTATGAGCTATTGTGCACACACAAATTTATTTGATCATCTGTTGTCAGAAAAGAATGAAAACATTAGAACACGTGATATCAGAAATCAAAGAGCCATATATTAGACAAAAATCTATTTTGGCGCCATAGTTGGATCTATATTGGCGCCGGGCTAAGCGCCAGGGGGTTTGTTGTTTCGTGTGTATACAAGGATTATTATTTCATCAAGGCCTACAATTACTCCTAGCTTACACACCAATCTTGTGGGCTGAGGATCAATCAATTTCAGGTTTAGGAGTATACTCATCTTCCAGTTTATTCAATACAACTCCCCCCCCGTCTCATCAACTTACCTAATACTTCCCAGGATCTTCGATCTTTCTTCATCTTTTTATTCCTCGTCGAAATTTAAAAACTTTCGACATTTTAAATTCTTAAATAAAAGAGTGTTTGCCACAAACTCTGATTTTCTAATCCAAATATCTTTGCATTAGACCTTAGATATTTCAATCAATTAATCTAAGTTTGAAATATCAAAGGTTTACTACATCAAGATGCAAATGTATAGGGATGCAAAAATTTGAGTTTGTGGCAACTTTCAAGGTTTTTTTTCTTAAACCATTTTTCATTTTCTTCCTTCATTTGGTATATTCTGCTCTCTATTCATCTTCCCATTAACCCAAATTATTTATCTTCTCATCCTTGACATTCTCAAATCATCTTCCCATGTTTTTTTTCTCCCAAATCTAATTTTTTCCTGTCATCTTTCCAAATCTCTTCAAAAAAACGATTATTTGCCTCAAACGAGAATTTTCTAATATTTTTATCTTTGCAATCTAAATCTGATGTCTATAAGTATAGAACTTTAACATTTATAAATAGAAACTTTACACCATCAGGCTTTAATGATGTAGGGATTATAAAATTAGAATTTTTAATGAGTTATCAGTTCTTTTTCTCCCTTTTTCAACACAAATATCATTTCTTTTTCTAATTTCTTCATCTTTAAATTTTTTATTCACAAAGTATGTTTAGAAACTTTTTAATTTTAAGCATTCTGCTTTTTTCCCTTCTATATTCTAATATTCACTATAATCACTTTTTTAATTATATTTCTACTCTAGGCTTTTCTCAATTCAATCTTAGATTCAAAATTTAAAAGTTCAAAATATTGTATTCATACTCAAAACTAATTTTAAATTATCTATATTTAATTCTTCTATTTTACAATATTTAAGTTCAAACACGGTTTAATTAACTAAATTAACAAATATAAATTTACAAAGAAATCTAATTTAATTGAAAAATATCACATTTCAACCTGGTTGACTTTTGGAAGAACAAATACGTCTTTTTTTCAGACGAACTTTCACTTCAAAATTTAGCTTGTGTTGAAACACAGAGTTTGGTCTGGGTTGGGGGGGAGGGAGGTTCCATTGTTTGTTTGTTTGTTTGTTTGTTTGTTGTTTAGATATATCCGGGGAGCTTCTTCATCTGAAAATAGTAAAATTGTTATTTTTTTGATGGTTTGATGTTTTTTCTTAAAGACTTTTTTTGTTTGTGAGTGTTCTTTTGCCAACTGTATTGTTTATTGTTGTCTTTTTTATGTTATTTGTTGAATGTATGTTTGTTATGTGTGTTTGTTATATGTATGTGTGTTGCATTTATGCGCGTTTTCTTTATGTGTGTGTTCTGTGTCTGTTTAGTTGTTTGTTTGTGGTATGTATGTTTACTGTTTGTTGTATGTATGTTTATTGTATGGATGTTTCCTGTATTTGTGTGTGTTTCCTTTGTAAGTGTTAAATGTATGTGTGTTGTATGTATGTTTGGTGTATGTTTATGTTTGTTGTATGTTTATATTTGTTGTATGTTTATGTTTGTTGCATGTTTATGTTTATTGTATGTTTATATTTGTTGTATGTTTATGTTTACTGAATGTATGTGTGTTGAATCATTTGAATGTATGTTTGTTGTTTGTTTATTGTATATTTTTGTTTGTTGTATTGGTGTGTGCTCCATGTATGTATGTTTGTACGTTGAGTTTTGTTGAGAGCGTATTTAAATATTTAAATCCCTGAAAATATTTCTTTATTTCAACAATTTTGTGAAACAAGATTTACAAAGTGACCGTTTTATATTTTATCTCATTTTCAAAGTTTTTTAATTCTCAATTTGTACCGAGAAATATTCAAGAGGGGAATTTTAGGGGAGAAACCGGAGGTAAAAGGAATTCGAGACGGAGAGGGGGTAAAACAGGGGTAAAGTATAAAGGTTGATTATTTTTATTAAAAAAAAGGTGGAGAAAAGAAGGAAGTGGCGGGGGAGGGGGTAGGCGGGTCGGTGTATCGGAGATTGAAGGAGAGAGGGCGGGCCGGTGTGTCGGAGATTTGACATGAAATTGTGGATCTAAATTCCCTTTGTTTGAACAGGTTACGACAGTAGGTTTAAATCTGTATAATCTAAGCAACACGGAGAGGGAAAACTGTCCAATAGTTCAAACAATAACACTTAAATCTGTGAAAAAGTTATCTTAAAAACTGTGTGTAAACATTTTTGTAAAATTATTAAATGTAAAAACCTGCAAATCTGCATCCGTCCTATATCTCTCTTCACATTCTCTAAGTTTCTGATGAACTAGTTGAAGATGTTTTTGAAGGTTCTGCTCCTCTCTAACCATCAGAGCTTCATCAAGTTCTAATAGTCCAGATCCATCTAATCTCTCCAGGTCCAACCAACCCCGCCACCGTACACAAACTCCGTTAAGGATAAAAGAGCTAAGGATATGAACCTGAAACAAGAGTTGGGTTATTTTAGGTTTAAAGGGAAGAAGAGAGAAAAGTAGGAAATATGGAAGTATAAGATTTCTGTAAGATTTTTAAACGGTTTTGGACAAGAGTAACTTTTGGAGTAAAACTATCTAGAAGTAGACCCGGAGTAAGACTAAAAGTAAACCTGGAGTAAGCCTAGAAATAGACCTGGATGAGGACTAGAAGTAGACCCGGAGTAAGGCTAGAAGTAAGCCTGGAGTAAGACAAAAAGTAAACCTGGAGTAAGACTAGAAGTAGACCTTGAGTAATACTAGAAGTAAACCTGGAGTAAGACTAAAAGTAAACCTGGAGTAAACCTAGAAATAGACCTGGATTAGGACTAGAAGTAAACCTAAAGTAAGACTAGAAGCAGACCTGAAGTAAAACTAGAAGTAGACCCGGAATAAGGCTAGAAGTAAGCCTGGAGTAAGACAAAAAGTAAGCCTGGAGTAAGACTAGCTAGAAGTAGACCTGGAGTAAGACTAGAAGTAAACCTGGAGTAACACTAGAAGTAGACCATGAGTAAGAATTGAAGTAGACCCGGAGTAAGACTAGAAGTTAACATGGAGTAAGACTAGAAGTAAACCTGGAGTAAGACTAGAAGTAAACCTGAAGAAAGACTAGAAGTAGACCCGGAGTAAGGATAAAAGTAAACCTGGAGTAAGACTAGAAGTAAACCTGGAGTAAGACTAGAAGTAAACCTAGAGTAAGACTAGAAGTAAATGAAATATACTCCGGGCAAGGTTGATTAAGTACTCACCCCTAATGATTATCTTTTAAAACTTGAACCCAGATTAAAAGAAGAAGAAGTATTTAAGTTCCGTTTACCGGTGCATTAGCATAGTTTTGGTTTAAAAACTCCAGTTTAAATTAGAGAGGTTTTATACACTACGGAGCAGTGGTAGGAGTGCCAAGAACTTGGTTCTATCAACTCTACAGGGTTAATGAGTGTATATATATGACCACACGCATATAAACCAAGTTTGAGTTTAATTGCACCTTATTTGCCCCAATTAGCTTGTTCAAGACTAATTTATGTCTGAGACTGGTGTATAGTGTAGAGGGCCGGGGGGAACAGGGCGAGACATCTATCATCAATTTTAAAAGGAGGCGGGGGAGGGGGGAGCAGGTATACACCCGGCAATTATACAAGATATCAACTAACACCTGAACTCCGGTTTCAAGAAAAAAACTGGTGGAAAGAAAGGAAACAGTAATTACTCCACAGAATATTAATGTGCACTTCAACCCTTCTCCAGGTTAAAAAAAAGAAGTAGCGTGCAAAAAATGACGAAATTTAGGGCCGGGTTAGTAAATATCATGATAAATATTTCACAATAAGATTTCAATCATGATGAAAAACCAGAGATTGGAAATCAATCTGAAGATTAAGAAATTTTGTCCAAGATTTCAAAAATGGCCGGAGATCTTTAAACGAAGCTTGAGCTAGCGAAGAAAAAGAATGGTTATATTAGAGTAAAAATTGAAACGATTTATTGAAAAATTTAAAAGATAAAAGGAAAGGATAGAAGATTTAAGAGTTTGATAGAAGAAGATGAAAGGGAAGGATAGAAGATTTAAGAGTTTGATGGAATAAGATGAAAGGGAAGGATATAAGATTTAGGAGTTTGATGGAATAAGATGAAAAGGATAGAAGATTCAAGAGTTTGGTGGAATAAGATGTAACAAAAGGTTAAAATATTAATTATTTGATGGAATAAGATGAAAGGAAAGGATAAAAGACTTTAGAATTTGATGGAAGAAGATGATAGATGGAATAAGATGGAATAAGATGAAAGGAAAGGATAGAAGATTTAAGAGTTTGATGGAATAAGATGAAAGGTAAGAATATAAGATTTAGGAGTTTGATGGAAGAAGATGAAAGGAAAGGATAGAAGATTCAAGAGTTTGATGGAATAAGATGTAAGGAAAGGATAAAAGACTTAAGAATTTGATGGAAGAAGATGATAGATGGAATAAGATGGAATAAGATGAAAGGAAAGGATAGAAGATTTAAGAGTTTGATGGAAGAAGATGAAAGGGAAGGATAGAAGATTTAAGAGTTTGATGGAATAAGATGAAAGGAAAGAATAGAAGATTTAACAGTTTGATGGAAGAAGACGAAAGGAAAGGATAAAAGATTTAATAGTTTGATGGAAGAAGATGAAAGGAAAGGACGGAAATGAAAATAATGAGTATGATGGAAAAAAAGGCGAGGAGAAGTGGGATGGAGGGAGAGGGAAGAGAAAAGAAGAAAATAAATGAAAGGAAAAGGAAGAGTAGGTGGAAAGGTTAGAATAAGGAAAAGAAAGAAGATTAGACTCTAGGAGGAAGAAACGGAAGAGTAGGTTGAAAGGTTAGAAGACGGAAAAGAAAGAAGATTAAAGAAGAGGATAAGGAAGAGTAGAAGAGAAGATTAAGGTAAAAGGAGCGAAGTGAGTAAAGTAGAATTGAAGGATAGGGTTGAGAGTATCCTGGTGAGTGAAACACTACAGGAAAACCACATAATTACGGAGCCACGAAAACTTGAGAATATTTGAAAAAAATTAAAAATTTTGTTTAACCGAGAACTCGGTTTAGTTATAACACTAATAATATTGCACAAAAACTATAGTGGTGAGTAGTTTACTTTAGTTCAGTACAATTCCTTCATATTTTAATATTTTAAACTATTTGGAAGCCTAGTTCTCTTTATTGTTGAGTGTGCAGTGTGTAGGCCAGATGCTGCGGAAATTTAAAGAATTGAACCTGGTTGCTGATATATATATACTTTCTGCAATTTAACTTATGAACAGAGTAACGAGGGAAGGGGGGGGGGTCTTCTCGTTCAGCTGGAAAAACGAAAGGTTAAAAGAATTAGAAGAAGGAAGAAGGCAAGGAAAGGAAATACGAAAATATGTAACAAATTGATAATAAAAAAGCTATCCTCAAAAAAATTAAAACTAATTTAAAAATTAGGAACCTGACATTCTGAAATTATTTGCTTAAAAAGGGTGTCTGCAGTCTAGGAATTGAATGAAAAGGATGTATAGAGTGAAAACAGATTGTATTGGGTATAATTACAGGATCCTAGCTTTACATGCAACCTGGAGAAAGGACAGGAGAAGGTCAGGGAGAAGGAAAAGAGAAGGTGAAACCAGCGGAAAGAAGGAAAAGAAAAAATAAAGGAAAAAACTTACTTTTCCCTGTTCTCTATTGAAATCACAGTATGAAGAGGAGTGTGGATTAAATTTAGCATCAACCTCATGGGTCGGAGTATTCCAGTTTAGCAGGACAACTAATCCGGACCCGGAGAAACTCTAAAAATAAACCTTCTTATTGTTCAGAAACCTTTAAATATATTTTAAAATACTTTATGTAAAACAAATCTCTTGGAAGAACCGGCCAAAAAAATCATTGAATTTCATCAATACCCCTTGGTCTCTTGAGGGCCATTTAGGTAGGTCGTAGGGAGGGGGGGGGGGCAACTCCCCCCTCTGACAGGTTTTGATATTCTTAATCTGATTACAGAAGAAGTGATCAAATTAGATTTGTCTCTCACCTCCGACATATGCGGGGGGACAGACCAGGGGGAAATCAAGATAGGGAGGGGGGAAACGGTTCTAGGGGAATTTTCAGTATAGAAAAGTGTCAAGAGGGGGAAATGGACATGTAACCTAAACCAGGTATTTAATTCCCCCAGGGGGAATGGGATGAAAACTTACAATCTCTGTGTGTCCATCTCTACAGGCTGCCTGAAACTTGGCTTGTCTCTCATGGTTTGGACGATCTCTGTACAGTGTGTACCGAACCTCTCCTTCTCTAGTATGCTTCTTAAACAGATCTTCGGTCTCAAACTTCTCTCGTTGATCAGGAACCACCCGGGGTAGTTTGAACAACAATCTAGGATAAAATAAGATATAATGATAACTTAAAAAATAACACCAACATATAACAAAATTATTGATAAATAACTTCATCAACATCACAAAATAAAAAAATTGTATTAGAAACTGAAAGTAAGAATATATCAATATCGGGAACCAATATTTCAAAGAGATTTATAAACCAAAGATGTTTAAAAAGAAAAATCGTAAAACAACAACTTTGATTGATAATTGTTATTAATTTGCATAAATTGATAATAAATAAAAACTATAAGGAGTATAAATTAAGATTCAGTAATTAAAACAGATACACAAACAGAAATTAAATTTAAAAAATGGAAAAATATTAGGCTTGGAAACCAATCTGTAAAATAAAATACGAACTCTACCATTATGCGAAAGCATTAACATAATTGACGATTTAAAAGTTTTTAAATATTAACAAGCCATACAACAAAAACATAAAAAAATTATCAAATTTAATTCGAACAAAAATTGTGTTCTTGAAACTCAAACCTGAGCAAAAGTAATTCTAACAAAATTAGGAACAGCCAAATTTGTAGACCAACATCAATTTGATTTTTTTAATTTACAAGAAACCACTTTAGAGTTAGATTATAAGAACCTGACCTTAAATTGATAATAATTTGGATTAAAATAACTTTTGAAATAATGAATTTATTTTTGTTTTCATTACTTATTTCTATATTTTAATAAAAAATACCTATTTTTATTCTAAATGAATTAAGATTAAATGATAGAAATGGTATTTGCGTAATGTTTACCTAGAATATTTTGGTATTTCCTGCTGTTCCTGCGTATGCGTGTGATTATGTGAATGTGTTTGGTAAGGAAGTGTGTGCGCATGATGATGTCCAAGTGTGTCATATTGTCCGTAGGGAATCATAGTTTACAAATCACGTGAAAAACTTTGTTTAAAAACCCCAGTTCACCACCAGTGCTCCTCACTACTAGGATATCTAAAAAATCTCTGATCCTTCCTAGTTCCAAACTTCAAGATGTCCGGAGATATACTGGCCAGTTCTCGGTCCGGTGGCGGCAACCCCGCTAGATTCCCGGCCTCTCATTGGTTCCGCTCCGGATCAGCCTGGCGGCAGATTTGCCACGAATACTTTGTTATAACGAATGGCGGCATTATTATTATTCTTTATTAAGACATTATAGACGGACTTGATGATTATAATAGATTTGATTGTTGGTAACAAATGACAGTGAAAAATGGCTGAGATCATCCAATCCCTGTATCCTTTAAACACACAACACTTTTTCTTATCATTAATTGAATATTTTGATTTATATGATCGTTATTGTTGCAAAAAATGCTAAAATCTTTTAATATTGAATTCTTTGCCCGTTTCCTCTTTATGATCATCATTTGTCTATATAATCCACCCCTCTTACACACTCACATATTAAACTAGGTTTTTAGTTTTAGTTAAAAATTTAGATATATTATAAATATAACCACCACGGGATATCGAATAGGGATTTAATAATTACATTTAAAACTGGGAAAGTTGTTCTCATTTATACGATAACAGCAATACTGCAGATCTACACAATTATGAAAATTAAGCATTAACTGTCGAGATAGGACCTACTTCAAAGTGCCTCTATCATCTATGACTTTGTCTTTAGTTTTACCTTAACAACCCAATTATACTATTTTATAACCATGGGAATGAAGATTTCAAAACTGTAACGCGCTTGCTCACATATTTCGTTTCAAAAGAGTATTGGGTAAAATCCTGAATTTTTTCTGTGTAAGAAATTAGTTCACATTGCAGTTTGAACTTCGAGAGTGACAAAGAGCAGAATTATTGATTTCCATGTCCTTTGCAAAAAGACTTTATCCTGCCCTTGGCTCAGTTGATAATTAAAAAATGAGAATGAGGATCGAAAACTATTGATAATTTAAGAAAAAAAGAATGATTGCGTAAAACTATAAAATTAGATAAAAAATGGATGGATCATATGATTTAACTAAGCTTCTAAAAACTGTTTCATAAATTAAACTGTTTTAATAAGATTTCAGCGTTGTTTCTGGTGTACTTTAAAACCAGACGCAAAATATCTAAAACTTTCTTAAACCGGCATATTTTTTCTATATTCATTTAGTTAAGAGTTTGAGTCAAAATAAGTATTAATAAATATTGCTTTATATCGAGTAGATGTCCTTAAACATACCGATGAATGTACCCCCTCCCTCCAGTATACCCCAGTAAAGCACAGTAATTTGCAGTACATTGTAGTACCCTGTACCCTGAAGCACTCTGTATACCCTGTTTCCATCACTTTCCATATAAAGATTTGGGAATTACAAATTGGTGTTTTTGCCATTCCTCCCTCCAATGAATCATCAGCTGTTTAGTTTTAAACCATCAACGGAACCTCTTTTATACTGTTATACACAAATGAAAATAATGCAAAACTAGAGTAAAGTGCAACCCAGAAAAGCTTCTTTAAGTTCTAAATATTTTTGTTCAAAATAAAAATTCTTTTTGGTTTGGCAACTTTTTTCTGCAGAATCGATATGTATAAGGATATCTACTCGATATAAAGCAATATTTATTAATACTTATTTTAACTCAAACTCTTAACTAAATGAATATAGAAAAAAATATGCCAGTTTAAGAAAGTTTTAGATAGATATTTGTAATCATCCAGAACAAAAAGTTTTATCAAAACTAAACTTTTTTAGGTTTATTGGACGTTTTCAAAAAAATGCAAAAAAAATCATTTCTGACACCCCTAGGCTTAGTACGTCAATATAATTCACCAAAACCATACTGCAGTCCTTCAATTATCATACAGGGAAATTTTCATCTTTCTAAACATCCAAACGAATGATTTGACAGGTTCTTTAACCACATTCACAAGTTTTCAGCTCAGGACACTTTTATTCTCTCCTTAGTATTCAGGGTTTTGAATGAAATGAAAGATGTTTTTCAAACTTATCAACAAAGAAAATTATAGATTTGTCTCATCATTCTATCTAGCTCATTATCCAATGACGGTTGACTAATCCAGTGGGGTCGGTCAAATAGGCTTAGGATTAGGCCGGGTACTGTAAAAAGTCTGAACGCGCAATGGGAGCTGTCATAGTTAGCCCTCCGACGGGACTATGCCAAGAAAATTGACCCCTGTCGCTAGTCTGGTTAGGGCGACGTACTGTACCATATGATCTGGTCAGTACACGCTGTTATCTGGAAGGCCGGTCCTGTTCGAATTCAAATTTACTACGGCTCAGAGTGCAATTAGAGAGAAATCCTCATATCGGCGCTATCAGTAAATGGAAATATTTACTTCTACTGAAAATATAGTGTGCAGTGATGTACAGGGGTACGACGTACGTGGCATGTCCGATTCACCTCGGTCGGTACCCTTTAAACATTTTTAGGATCAAGATTGTATTAAATATCCAACATTTTTCGTAAAAATTTGATTATATTCAATTGTGGGTTCCCTAGCCAAAGTTTTAAAAAAATTGAAGGACTTCAAGCTTTCTTAATACTTTATAAACCTCCTGAAAAGATTAAAAGTCATGTACTACACATTTTAACATCTCTTAATCTTCATATTTACTGGGACATTCTATATTTCCAGTTTTAAATTCTACGTTGAGTGGGGTTGACTTTTACAGGGAAAACTCCAGGCAAAGCTGGGTTCCCAAAGTAGTTTAGTTCTAAAACATTGCATACTCTGAAAGAAGTGAACAGTGTAGATCAGATGTTTTAATTTGACATTTTTACATGCGTTTCCTTTTCCCCCTTGTTAGCTCAGTAATTTATGAATATTTTTAGAGGTCAACAGACCGGGAGCCATTTTTCCGACATTCCCCCCCCCCTCATTTCTCATCTTTGATCCCTTAAATCCTGTAATCTTCTAATCTCTTGTATTTGTCCTTAGTATATTAATATATCTAAATATAAATAATATTTTAATTTCCATATTTAAAGCTAATCATCAAATATTTGCATACTGCAAAATTAAGATTAAGATTGTTAATTAATAATAAATTCATATTTTAAACAAAATGAATTATCTACTCATAAAGTTTTAGATTATTCAAAAATAGATTTATAAGAAAATGAATTTTGTTGCAAATCAGAATTTTAAAACCTTTTTTTCAATTTCAATAGTTCCATGGAAAGATAACAATAATTAGGAAAAGTTTATTTGTTAAAAAAAAGACAAAATGGTAAAGTTAGTTCGAATGGTACAGAATACCCCCCCCCTCCCCTCCCTCCCTCCAAGCTCGGTAAATATTAGAAATTGTTTTGAAATATTTGCTCCCCGTGCCTTTATATTCTAAGGGGGTGATAGATCGTGTGTTGAGGGAGGGGGGTGGGGAGGATGCAATATATTGTAGGAAAATCAAAATTAGATTCTCACAAACTTTTCATTCTTAAATTTGTTCCCTCCATCCCTCTCTTCTACAATTCTTCCTACTTTCCCCTTTCCCTACAAGGATAGATGAATGGATAGAAACAAGGATAGATGTAGGGATAGAAACAAGGATAGATGAATGAACAGAAACAAGGATAGATGAATGGATAGAAGCAATTGGATAGATGAATGGAAAGAAGCAATAATAGATAAATGGATAGAAACAACGATAAATGAATGGATAGAAGCATGATGAATGGATAGAAACAAGGATAGATGAATGGATTGAAGATGAATGGATAGAAGTAAGGATAGATGAATGGATAGAAGCTAGGATAGATTAATGGATAAAAGCAAGGATAGAAGAATGGATAGAAGCAAGGATAGATGAATGGATAGAAACAAAGATAGATGAATGGATTGAAACAAGGATAGATGAATGGATAGAAACAAGGATAGATGAATGGAAAGAAGCATGGATATATGAATGGATAGAAGCAAGGATAGATGAATGGATAGAAACAAGGATAGATGAATGAACAGAAACAAGGATAGATGAATGGATAGAAGCAATTGGATAGATGAATGGAAAGAAGCAATAATAGATAAATGGATAGAAACAACGATAAATGAATGGATAGAAGCATGATGAATGGATAGAAACAAGGATAGATGAATGGATTGAAGATGAATGGATAGAAGTAAGGATAGATGAATGGATAGAAGCTAGGATAGATTAATGGATAAAAGCAAGGATAGAAGAATGGATAGAAGCAAGGATAGATGAATGGATAGAAACAAAGATAGATGAATGGATTGAAACAAGGATAGATGAATGGATAGAAACAAGGATAGATGAATGGAAAGAAGCATGGATATATGAATGGATAGAAGCAAGGATAGATGAATGGATAGAACCAAGGATAGAAGGATGGATAGAAGAAAGATAGATGAATGGATAGAAGCAAAGATTAAAGGATGGATAGTAGCAAGTGTAAATGAATGGATTGAAGCTAGGATAGATGAATGGATAGAAGCAAGGATAGATGAACGGATAGAAGCAAGGATAGATGAATGGATAAGAGTAAGGATAGATAGATAGATAGATAGATAGATAGATAGATAGATAGATAGATAGATAGATAGATAGATAGATAAATAAATTGATAGATAGATAGAATAAGTATCAACTATCATAGGACACACACGAAGTAACGAAAGGAACCGAAACACACATGAAAGATATTTTAGATAAATAAATAAACTTGAAACGGCATCTTTGTAGCTGCCGGCTAGCTTAGCTTGGTCCTTTGTAGCTGCCGGGTCTATCTATAGGCTAACTCCTTTGTAGTTACCGGTTAGCTTAGTCTAGTTCCTTCAATTGTAGCTGCCGGAATTCTTAGTCTAATTCCTTTGTAGCTGCTATCCAGCCTAGTCAAATTCACATAATTGCAGCTGCCGGTCAGTCTAGTACAGTTTACATAACTGTAGCTACTAGCTAGCCCAGTACAATTCACATAATTGTAGCTGCCGGTTAGCCTAGTCTAGTTACTTCAATTATAGCTGCCGGAATTCTTAGTCTTATTCGTTTGCAGCTGCTAACTAGGCCAGTACAATTCACATAATT